GGAAGATCAGGAAGACCCAGGGGGAGGAGGAGGAAGAGTAGGAGGAGGAAGCATCTAAATGTTATTTCCATTTTTGTCCGTTTTTGTCCATTTTTGTCCGTTTTTGTCCGCTCTATTTTTTGTCCGTTTTGAAAATATAGTGTATTGGCTATGCCCCGCTTACTAGTTTAGCTCTTTCTAGTCCCCTGCTACACGGCATGTAAACAGGGATTGGCTAGTTAGAGGCGGTCCGTGTAGGCCTTACACTGTGCTTTCAGCAATACTCATAGGGTACCGAACGGACAAAAAACATGATCCCCCTATAACAGCAAAAATTGAACATTTTATTTAGCAATTTAGGTGTCCATTAATGTCCGCCTATGTCCGCCTATGTCCGCCTATGTCCGCCTATGTCCGCCTATGTCCGCCTATGCCCGCCTATGTCCTGTCCTTTTTGGATTCTATGAGACAAGCGGACATAGACGGACGTGACACCCCCCCTTTAAAGAACTCTAAATGCTTAATGAACACACTTGCAGGTACTGAGGTACCACCCGTAGTATTCACTATTCACACTCAGAACTCCAGAACTGAGTTTAGTCATTTTCCGATACGAAATTGGGGACGGGTTCTATAAACAAACAAACAAGTTTAATAATTATCATAGGACATTGATCATATTTTTATTTTATGATCATGATTATGTGTATGTATAATACTACTAGTGTAACCCGGCCTACGGCCGGGATTTCACTGCCGCAGTTAAAAAGGGTAGGAGTAATTACCCGCTGAGTCAAAACCCGCATTAGGTGACCCAATAGTTTCTTAAACAATAATCTCATTACACCTCATCACTCCCGTCTTGAACCGCTTTCTATTTTTATTTAAATCGTTATAGAAATTAACCCTTGTTAACTCCGCACCACACCCGCATATTATATTTGAAAACACGCATAACATTGTCGTATGAACTCTCTCTCTCTCTCTCTCTCTGCAGTCCAAACAGACCCCAAACACTAACAGTCCCCCCTCCCCTAATAAGCTTAAGGTATAACATTACAGCGAATCTTCCAGGCTAATCCAATTATGACGCTACTTAAATGCAGCTATAACATATTACACAGTAATGAGAAAGAGAGAGCAAGCCCCGTAACTCTTGCCGTTCTGCTCACGCAATTTTATGTAACATTTGTGGTACAAAACCATCAATTAAACCACTTACCATCGGCCGATTTAAAAAAAAATTTCCTATGGGCTTCATCAGAGTTTTGTCGACACTATACCGAAAAAATCAGTCCCGTAACTCTTACCGTTTTTTTTGTATAACCGACCGGAAATTACACACGGACAGACAGACAGACAGACACACACACACACACACATTCTGGTGTTATTAAGGTGATTGAGGGGCATGGCACCACTTGCTCGCGATTGCAGCTACAACCAGTCCAGCTCACGACTTTCACTGTAGGAGGTTCCATGATGTAGCAATACGTAACCGCAGCAAGCCACACCGTTACACCGGAGGCTAAAACCGCGATGTATGTGACACATGTGGTATTGCATATTACTACACACGTTTAGTAATATTAACTACACGTTTATTGAATTACTGTGTTCCGTGCAGTGTCACATATTGTAGTAATAAGGTTAATCTTTAAATATAACATGTTGACTGGACCACAGGGTGAAGTGTGTAACGAAATAATGGAGAATAAGTTAATAAAAATAATTGGCAGGTCATGAAGTGTAGAGGCTGTACTAATTTAATTTGCGGTGAAGATCATGTGTTAGCCTAAGTAAGTACACCGAAGTGAATGGGGTTTCTGGAAACATACAATAATCGATAAGACAGTTTGTTTTTGGTTCAGAAACTTTCAAATAACACATATTGTGCCACTGGTCTTCAAGTACGCAGCCGCCTAAATCTATCACAAACTCCTTAAAAACTGTCAACGGCTTTTCTACATTACATATCCTATCATATTATGTGAGTACACTGACACAGACTTATGTTTCTTCAATAAGCTGACTACTTCCTCCTGTAACACAGTGATACAGTGTTCAACTCACTCGCCAAGGGATTACATCGTATATATATATTAATATTATATATTATAATATTATTATAATATAATAATGTATTTATGTATTAATAAACCTTAGATTATTATGTCGCTAAAAGTCTGAATTACAACGCTAAATAAAACTTAGAGCCACCAATTATTTGGTGTTTCAATAAGCTTCTCATTACGCCAACCAATTAAGCCACTCCAGAATTATGCCCGGAAATATGTCGGAATTATGTCGGATGTAGGATGTACCGGGGTAGGGGAGTGCCAGACGCGACCTTTATTACGGCGTCAGGCGCGCTGACCGTTCCATTGTGTCATAGATTATTTTGAGGAATTAACAATCGTATGAACTCAATTAATTCAACTCTAACAAAGGTATAGTAGAAGGTAAGGTAGAAGCTGAGGTATAGGATACTCATTGCGTGTAGATTAAAACAACAAACAGTGTCGACGACACTGTTTGTCGTGTTTACTTGTCCCGAGGGGAAGGGCACTGGGTAGGGTCGATAGTTTTTAATGGAACACACGACTAATAACATCCTTCTTGTCTGCCAGTCTGTAAGTCTGCAATCATCAGATAAATATTCATCAGATCTGAAATTCCGGCACAATAATCCGATAAATAACATGAAATCACCGAATTACAAGTTACGAAACATCGCAACATTTTTGAGAGGGGTAGGTACCCAATAATTGTAGGATTTACTGAGCTGTGGGTGTGACACCTCCTCCTTAAATCTCCTCCTCTCCGGATCTATGTACGGGACAGAGCTTCAAGTACACTAATTGACACTTACTACTACATAAACTACAATATATACTAAAATACTGGTACACACATACTGGTACCTGTTACACAGTGTTTTGAGGACTGCTATACACTAGCTGGCCGGTGAGCTAAGTGTTATGTGTATAAGGTGTCATCCTGAGTATCGTATCTAATAGATACTAATAGATACTATCTATCAAGTGATACGTAGTGTCAGTAATGTAGGGAGGTGTTTGCAGGGAGGTTTCTTAGAATGATCTGTCGGGAATGCCCATAAATGGGCATAATTATTGTTTTGCAATAAGTATCGGATATTTTTATGGGTTTTCCAATAATTTATGTTAAAAGCCTGAAATGATAATACATAATTCCGTAGCCAACTGAATAGCCTATTTAATCAAGTCTCCAGTACAGATATCCAGAGTTCAGACTCCAAATAAGACTGTGAGTCATAAAGCAGCACCGCATACTTTGCTTGCACTTATACTATTTTCAAAACTGGGCCCCTCATTTTCAAGAACAAGTCAACAGTGGTACTGGTAGGCTCATTAAATAATGTCAGAAAACAATCTACTCGTGCTGTTATGAGAATTTAGGTCTTTCCTCGTCAAGTAAGGTTTCAAATTATCATAATTTATATTATTCATAAAACCTATTGAGATAGCGATGTTGAATAATTATTAAGCCATTTGCTTTGACAGGAATATTAGATCACCGAAGTTCGTGATAAGATTAAATATAAATTCTAGAATTTATACCAGTCACCGATGCTAAACTCTAAAACTCAATCTTTTAACAAAAACATTAATATTCTACACTCACGTGGTTAACTTATTATAACGCCTGTACAGCGCACTAATCACTCTAATAATAATGCAGTTTGTTTTTAAAACTTATAACTCCGACTTTCACTAATTGTAAGGTGTATATTGAGGTATTACTCAATATGTAAAACACATGTGAACATTAATGTCTATAAAAAGAGTCAGTGTTCAAAACATTCCTTTTCCCTGCCCCATTTTATGAAAATGTATAAATAACTCAATACCATGTAACCAGTGGTGTTTGTTTGTTACCATGGTAACTGCTAAACAGTGTCTTCAGTGAGGGTGGCGTGTATAATTGTACACAGCTATTTATAATTATAACTTTATTAAGCTCCTTATTGCTCCTTATTTAGTTCCTTGTGTTCCATGTGCAGCTCCTTATTCAGCTCATTATTCAGCTCCTTCAACTTCACCAAAACAAGCTACACAACATACAGGCAGGCAGGCTTATATCCGAGTAAAGTAACCTTGCAGGGTTAATGATCAGTTTTACAATTATCTGTTTGTGTAAAGACCGTGCAATGCTCTACATCAGTGTTAACTAACTATGTGGGATTAAGAATGTAAGAAATTTGTGAAAAATTCAGAAAGAACCCATACTGAGGCGTATAGTTGGTTACATTTCTTTATTTATAGAGTTAAATACGAGAACAGTTACTATATTTATATATAAATATAAAATAAATATAAAAATATTTCTTTATAAAGAAACATTTCGATAGTTTTACATCACGTTCTGCGGACAATCAAACTTGGCCTATCCCTCTTTCGGAAAAACGTGAGGCAGCCAGAATCGAGATAGGACTAATTTCCAGTCCGGTAAAAATTGTGAATTGTCCCGTTCCTGCGCCTTTTCCTACATACTGCATATATTTCGATAATTAATTTTATAGGACTAACTCATACAGTTCTATAAGCTAAATCAATTACAATTCAAATGGAGCTGACTTACGGATTTGCAAACAAAGTTATCACATTATTAATGACAAAAGAGAAGCCAGCCTAGTATAACGAATTACTCCTCGTGATATCGGGACCAGCTCTACTACAAAGGACTGTTTGTGTGACTTACAGTGGGGTTTACAAAGAGACTTGTAACGAGAGTTAGCAGAGTTAGCAGAGTTATTCACGACTTTAACATTGACTACTTGTTAATAATAAACTCTGGCAGGTATTATATATTGTGAAAAGTTTTTGAACTAATTGTTGGAATTAACATTGGCATTTAAAAAAAATAAATAGTAATAACGTTGGCATTAACATTGGAATTATTGTCGAAGCTTGAACGAAAATACACTATCAACATCGTAAAAATATACCAGAAAATATCCTTTCCGGGTTTTTCTTTACCTGTCCAGTAAGGCTGAGAAGGATAGAGTCGCTCTTAACGTCCCTGTGAACGACCCCGAGCGCGTGGAGGTACTTCAGAGCAGATATCGCGCCGTGCGCAATGCGCGCCATGTGTCTCTCAGTCAGCCTGAGGAGAGAGGAGCTGGTAACATTTACAAATCTCAAATTAATTAATTGAACAACATGCCCCATTCTGAGGGCACTTATAATCTCTTTATGAAAATTCGTTTACAACTGAACTCTCTTATGATCTGGTAACAAGAGAGTTAAGTTAGGACGGCGTAGACAATGAGTCTCTGTAATTCTTAGACAATCCGCTAATTCTTTGTAATGTACTTCAGTGAAGGTTCATAGCCGTGATTTAACTTAAGACTCAGCATTATATCAACAGGAAATGCTATTTCAGTGTTCTGGTATGTTCGAGTAAGGCTTTATAGATATCTCTCCTGCAGCTTACATTACAGGTTATTATATTATACAGCTTGTAGTCTTCTACTGATTTAGGGATGTTTTCTACAGCTTTTATTACAGATTATGATATTATGCAACATGGACACAAAATATGACTAAAAAGATGGATGTACGGGATCTTTTTCCCCACACCTCGGATAATAACATCCTAAGGTTCCCTCTGTGGGATAACAAGAGCAATAATTACACAATCCAGGGAAGATGACGGATAGCAACCACGTGGCCACACCATGCCCAAATAAGGTTCTGAAACCATGTTAAAATCTATGACGATCCCGTAGATAGTAACATCATAACCCAACTCCCTACAAAATATGAGAGATAAGACCCGTGTCTGGTAAAGGTCTTCACAAGACTCTGATATATTGTAATACCACAATATCTATATTCAGTCTTCATATGAAGTGTAAATGTTATAGTACATCTAACAGGTGCGTGTCTGCTATATTTATACTATATATATATCAGATGTTTACATTATATGTGTCACGTGGGTGTCTGGGTCGCACTTCTCTTTATATGAATCTATCTGAACTGTGCACACTTTTTTGTGGGATTAAAATGTAAGTTTTAAACCTATTTCACATGTACATTGTACAGGCCGGTGTTTAAATAATCTGGTGATGATTTATTTTTAATATTCGTGATAAGGTGGTATGTTAATTAAAAACTTCACACGGTTAAGTTCCTGTTGATTGATAATGTGGAAGTGTGCCTACTTTTTATGACACCTGACACTTGACGGCCACCAATAAATCAGCTTCCGGCACCGACCAATCAAATCCCACTAGTAACCCGTAGTAACCCATAGTTAGCCACACTCCACAGTCCACAGTTACCAATAGTAACCCGAAAGAGACTGTGAACTACACGATCCCCGCGATTTGTCAGGGAGAGTAACGATTAGACCAGACAGAGCCGGCACATAATTTAATCAATATTGTAACAATTGATACACTGAGAATTTATATAATGTAAACTATAGGGCCCTTACCTGAGTAATGAGAGCCAGGGTTTCAGGGTTAATTTGTAGCGTCAGACTACACTCAAACTACACTCAGACTACACTCAGACTACACTCAGACCACATTCAGACTACACTCAGACTACATTCAGACTACACTCAGACTACATTCAGACTACACTCAGACTACATTCAGACTACATTCAGACTACACTCAGACCACATTCAGAACATTACCTACAATCTCGTGTAACAGGATGCTACCACCCAGAAATTAAATTAACACGGCTACCTAAAAATTAACATCAGGCTTCCCGACTGAGACTCTGAGAGTCAGTTCAGAGAGTTCCACAATGCAGAAGTGTGGCCCATGTAGGTGCGGTTAGTATTATAGGTAACATGACCCCCACACGCTCACACACACTCCCACACACATTGATCTGTATTATCATTTTAGTGGATTACATTAGCGCGCTATAACGTTATGGGTATGACGAATTATCACGCTATGAGACCACTACGTCGCCTGATTAAATCATGAATACTTTTGAAGTATTCCGGTGATGTAATGTATGTTATTATGGCTGATATCGGCTGTTGTTTCCCGCCAAAAGTCGCGAGGCTGATAACCCCGCCCCCGTTACTGAATCACTGATCAAACAAACAAAGAGCTCACTAAAAGTGCAGTGGTTGGTAATGACACTCCAGAAATGTGTCACTAGTCATGCGAGGAATGATTAGGGCGCATGAAGGAGCAGCTAGGACATGTGATTTGGTCTCTAAATACAGATGATGCTATTTTGAGAGGTAGATGAGAGGGGGTGTCGAGGTGTTGAAATTTATTGTACTTCGCCTGGAAGTATAGCTGAGACTGAGGTACTCTCTTAAAACCAGCTAAAGAATGCACTCACTCAACTTTGTGATTCTAGAATATGTGATGACGAGATAAGACAGGTATTCAAGCGATTCACTGGATTTTTCTGAGCGGGTACTTTGAACAGAGGGGTACTCAACAATAACTCTGTTAAGGAAGCAGAGTGTGACAGATGCACATGATAAGACAGAGATGGTCGTGATTGCATTCTCGTAACTGCACTGATTGTCACACCTTAAAATAGCTTGAATAGCTGTAGAAGCCTACATTTCACAACATTGCTGATGTTGTTGCCTGCCACCGCTTGGGTATATGCGAATCAGGTCAACTGAGAAAATGCTTGTTTATTGTTCCTTGTATCAGCTTTGTACGAGAAATTATTATTAAATTACCACATATTTTGGTATATTTAAAAAGAGCATACCACATGCATGGTTCATTCCCGTGAAAATATTTTGCAATAAAATTATGAATAGACATTTGTCTGAGATATATTTTCAAGTCTTAAAAACCCCCATATTAAACACTTAACTTAGACAAAACAAAAAACCAAGGAGACGTTAATTATGCTACATAGAGGATTACCAACGCCTCCCTTGGGTTAAGTTCTAGATGTCAGACATATTATAAGATATCTAAACATTCTGTTTATTGCTCACTTTCAATTAACAAGTTTAGAAAACCAGACAATAATCACTAATCAATATCACATTAAATCCAGACAATAATGAGTTCCCGATTATTACACTTGTTAAATGAAAGTAAATACCCCTGCCAGCCATGATTCTAAGTTGTGTCTACCTGGCTGAGTATGGGGGAGGATAACCAGTATCTGATTTTCACCTTGTTATCTGATAAACATTAAACAAGTGCATATTGTGAGTACCCAAGCTGTCGGCCATGATTATTTAAACAGACATCTACGATTCTACAGAGTTTGTGGCCATGATTCCTAGAGATGTCTACAGAGTTTGTGGCCATGATTCCTAGAGATGTCTACAGAGTTTGTGGCCATGATTCTTAGAGATGTATACAGAGTTTGTGGCCATGATTCCTAGAGATGTCTACCGAGAGTTTGTGGGAGGATGTGAGAATAAGTAACTGGTCCTCATTATCACCTTTTGTACAACACATCACCACCTTGTTGAGGAATGCGCAGTATTTATATTGGGTATGTTGTAACCCTAGAACCGAGGATCTCACACTACCACTCTTCTTCTGACAATGCTACTCCGACCTGTTTTAGGATATTGTGGGTTTTGTGACAGATTTTGTGGTCTGGCTTTTAAAAGGACAGTGGACTTGTGCAGTGCATTTACACTGGATACTCAACTGAGCACAGTGTATGATCAGGGTTTGAAACACTACCATGATCACTTTAAACCAGGGCATACACATAACACACACAGCATTCTTCGAATATTTTCAAACCTTAAAACCCAAAATATCTGGAAAATAAATAAACATTTGGTGGGAAATGTGCATGTTAGGTATTTGTTAGGTATTTGTGGTAGGCTCCCAAGGGTAACCTATTAGATTAGTCTACATTTTAAAAGTAAGATCCAAGGACCCGAATTCCGAGGGTATGAAGTCCACGTGTCTCACACACTGCACATTATTAAAAGTGGGGTCACTATTCACTGTCACATGTGAGCACTACATGTTGTGAGTGTACTGACATGTTGCAGGAATTGTGAGGCACTGGTATATCGTGGAGACGATGTGCTAAAGTGTGAAGTATTAACACTGCGTAAGTGTGATGTTTCCGGCGTTGTTTTAGAGCTGTTCCGAGATACTTCATGTTAGGTTTTTGCTGATACTTCGTAGCGTTACTCAGATGTTCCATTATTGTTAATTATATAGGCTTCATGTTTCAAGCGCAGAAGTGCTAAACTGCGATCTATGGTCAATGGTTATCCTTGATTGCTAAAAACAATATGTACTGCGTTTAAATAAATAAAACATCTAACGAGTAAAAATATCATGAGAATAAGCTTGCAGACGCTTACGCACTTTTCTGTATAGATTGCATACTCTGAAAATATATAATTTTTCTAAGTCAGAACGAAAAATTAATACGTTCCGACTGTCGTCAGCCTGGATTGTGGAATTTCTGGACTAACTATTTCTCCGCAAGAGACAGTACCACTCATATGGAACATAAAAACACCCCAGCGCACAAGGCTGCCAAGTCTGCTAAATTTCAGGGGAGGATAGAGACGGAATCCAATCGGAAGAGCCAGGCAGATAAGTGAGGAATGGAATGGGAGGATCTAACTTGGGAGACTATGAGAACTGGTTAGTTGTGGAGTTACGGGAGAACAACTCCACGTGTTTTACATTATCATGCAGCACTTAGCATCCATGTCGCAGCATAATTGAGGAATACATATCATCAACTTGTTGTGTGTACTCAGTGACTCTGCCAGTCTTATTTTGTAAGATAAGAGACGTTTAATTTCTGGAGATTTAGGGGGGATAATTTGGACTAGCTGCCACCGCCCCCTAGATTCCCTTCCGTCTTGAGAGAAAGAGTCTACGATAATCACCTCCATCTTGATAATCATTCACACTACACATCAGACCGGAAAGATACATAATGCATAAGTTACGATAATCATCGAAAATAACGGAATTAGAAAAGCGATCAATACACAGAATCCAGGCTCCTCGCCTCCTCAGTTTTCCTCTGCTTGTGTCAATATTAATCACTCTCCACCCAGGCCCACGCTTATTATTTTAACAATTATGAGCCAAGCAAAAGCCATAGTCAGTCGTCATTTATGTTTAAAGCGCCTGATGTCATGCTTGTTCTAGAATAGGCAGTTAGAATAAATTTTGCCGTATTGTCTTGTGATGAGGACTGCAGCAGCAAGGACTACCGATTACCATGTTAGTTATACAGTTTGGTATAATATTCTGGAGCTTTCATACCTTAATTGACTTCAAAAGTGTTTAAAAATAAAGTTTTAAAAGTTAAATCTACATTCTAGTTGTGGAACACAGTTAAATCAAACTAAAAATAAACGCCATCGCTAGTATTTTATTATTTCATGCGTGTGTAAACCTTTCTCGTTAGCTAAGGTTTTTAGAAATTAGTCCGACTAGAAGCAAAGATCTAGAATAGTCCGACCCTGCAGCTAATTGCAGGGTCAGCAAAAATGAAATAGTTATACAGTTTAGTATGATATTGTAGAGCTTTCATACGTCAATTGACTGCAAGGGTGTTTAAAGTTATTATAGAGTTGCAATTACTGCAAGGCAATCGACAGCATAATTAAACGTATATTGCCCAATATTCTATTTTTTGCATACATTAACATTTCCAGTTCCACGCCGCTCAGATTAATTAGTCTTAAGGACTAGAGATTCAAGAATACCGTGGTGGGAGCAAAGTTTAACTCCGATTTCTCTAGAAATTCCCGACACAAAGGAGCCACCTTATCTTGATGCTGAACCTTCCAATAACCAATTATTATCTGAGCAGTTCAAATCGAATTATAACATGCTACATTTACGTCAAATAGAGGTTAAATCACAACTCACAAACATATGAAACTCAAGTGTTGCAATCTGTTGAGATAAGGAATTTTATTAAAAGCCAGGTACAGCTGGACAGATGAAGCTGACTTACGCTAATCTGATTTGAAATGTTTCCAATATTCTACTCAGTACGGAAGGACTTACATTTTACATTTTACACTTAAAATGTTTCACACAAGACACCACCTACTCAGTATTAACTTTATCTCATTTCTAGTTTTGATTTTCATTCTTCGCACCTGCCAAACTATTCAAACTATGAGAATTACCTCATGGAATAAATTTCTGTGGAATTAAATTTAATCATTGACGTGGTATGTAATATACTCAAGGCACCAGCTTTTACAATTACTTTAAATATTTAACTATGTGAACATACTCATGATACTAAATCACTACGAATGCAAGTGATATCCAATAAATACCCCGCAATATTAGGGGTAGAGTTAATCTAATGTTAATAATAATCAGGATGTTAATCTGATGTCAATGTTCGAGAAGGTACAAGATCTCCACATTGGTATGATCATCAATAGGAATCATTACAATACAGGTCTATGTTCCTACGTTATGATGCGATATTTGTCTATAATGTATGAACTGATATGAAAGTGCATAATTTTGGTAATTTTATATCGATATTTGTCGATAAATTCCGAACTGATAAAGAAGTGCATAATCTTGATATTTCCACACTACGTCTCGCTTGAATGACTTAAATGTTCATCTTTGTTGGGTATATTTTAATGTCGAAGCGTGTAATAAATTTATTTATTTATATTACATACCAGGGGGAGACATGTCATGTAGTGGTGTGTAGTGGTATCATGATAATCAAGGGATAATATTAATCTTACACTTTAACATAGGCTAGTAAACCTATTTAGTATTAACGTGTACATGATCTAAATTATCTCTAAATTATCTAAAATGAAAAGTTGTTCAACTTCAAGTCTAACAATTATGATGTGCATGTGTTTGACTCATTTTATACATAACTAACCAGACTAAACTTATATGACTTTTATAATATATTTACTTATATTTAGTAATATATTAAATAAATTATAGTAAGCTAGTAAGCTAGTCGTGTGGTCATGAAACATGGTAAGTTAGGGTTGTCAACAAGTTTCAGTTTCTAGTAGCACGATATCAACACTACTGGAGTAGCGGGTGTCACTACGTTATCTTATTGTCTAACTAAAAGTAATTCTAAGTTTAAATCATTACAAAAAATAAATATGAATATTCCCACGGGATCATGGTGAACTTTCATTGATTTGAAATAGCTAACTAATTATATCTCTATATATTGCTAAATAAGATTATAAAATATCATTGTCTGTTACTATTCATGATGACCTCGTTTTGCCAAACAGCTTAACTTAAATATAAGTAAGAACTAATGACCTAAAAAGTGAAACTAACGTCAGTCAGTCCCCCGAGGATTGCACTTGTCATAAAACTTTAAGCTGGCAAACTACTAAATACCGTTAAATTCATTTGTTTATAATCTTATATTTACTCGGCGATGTTATTCTCAACTATCTGAATAACATACTCATTAATTAATTAATTAATTAGTTACTAGTATACACTTACTGGGCGATGCGCAGGTTCTCCACAATCTGAGTAAGAGATCCCCCGTCTAGTGGCTCCATCAGAACCCACAGCTCCTCCCCCACCAAGTGAGTACTGTACGTCTGGACTATGTTCCGGTGCTGTAACGATCCTACTGATACCTGGAAACAAGAGTTAGGGTTTAGAAGTTGGGGATTAGTGTTGGAGCTGGAGATAGAGTTAGTGTTGGAGCTGGAGATAGAGTTAGTGCTGGGGCTGGAGATGTAATGAGATATTATTAGAGTCGAAGATAAAATTAGAATTGAGATACGTTTAATTTAAAGATACCTACATTCACATTATAATCAACGTCAAAGATAAAAATAATAGAATTAAAATACGAGGCTGGATTACAATAAGGCAACCCTAATGACCTCGTTGACGAGGAGATCCCGTTTCTGTTGCCTGTGTAAGTTCATCTTCTTGACTGCCAGCCGCGTGTCAGTAACAGAGTCGTTAACAAGCATAACCACCCCAGAAGAGCCCTGTCCAAGCTTCTTTATCTCCTTCAACCTGAACATATCAAATTAATAGATTGATTAATTAATTAATGAAATATAATTACATAGTACAGTATTTAGATACCTATCCTGAAAATCCTAACATGATATTACTGTTTGACGGGTTTCCTTAGAGATTCAAGTGCTCACTGCACTATACAATAAATAAAACAGATGAATACATTCTGGATTTCTGGTGCTCATGACACACTTAGACATTGAAAACACACCCAAGAAACATATATTCAAGCCATCCAAGCGTGACTTAGTATCAATATCAAGTTTTAATTATGCAATATGCACTTCTATAATTTTAATTATTTTTCACTTTTTATTACAGTTCAGAATTTATAGACAAATCCAATTAACATCATAAAAAGTGAGGTTGATAGAAAATGTCTTTAGGCCACATAAATTGCCTCTAAAATTAGAACTTGTATAGGTTCTAAGATTGGAACTCTTATAGAAACTTCTAGAACCTAAGTCCCATAAGTTCACTGAAGTATTTGTCGTAAGATGGCATTATCACATACATTTATGTTGCAAGCATCCCTTTATATGGCATTGGTTAATGTGGAAGATTGAGAAGTGTGAACCTAAAACCAGAACCGGGGCTTTCAAAGCGGACAAGTTGACTGGTTTTCTGTTTAAATGTTCTAAAATATTTGTTAAACTTATGCAACGATCATGGATAAATAGCATATTGGTCAAGAGAGAAAAAATACAAAATAATCAGCTGAAAAAGGGATTCTTTGACTCGATCAATGGAAAATTAGCAGACACAGTCACAAAGATTACTTTGATTTAAGAGGCGTCACTTAGGCTATGACGTCATACACTGGTAACAAGAAGTTTTAAACTCACTCTAAAATTCGCAAGTATTTGATAAATTCAAACATAACAATACAAGATCGCATAAAATAGGGCAAATAGATATTAAAATAAAATAACAATAAGTTTATCGATTTACATGCTTATTTACTCATTTGCTAATTACATAATCTATTATTTACCTAGTAGAGGGGTTTTCCTTGCTGCAGTACTTGGCGATCATATCCCGAAACATGTCATCCTTGAGTTTGAGTTTCTTGGCAGTGCGAGGAGTGATGGGTGGAGGAAGATTGTTCGAGAAGTTCTCTTTATCCGCTAAGTGATACGGTCCTTCCACTTTGAGATGATTCTGGAAAAGTCAGTTATTCTACAACATTCGAAATTTAGTGGTTTAAACATTTGCTTTCAGTGTTGGTGACGACAAAATGGTTAAAAATCAACGATCACTAGCTTTTTATAGACTACATCACATCTTGGCGTGAAAATTTCGGCTGTTTTAAATCCCCAATTTTAACAATTTAGTCACATAATCATCGACCAAACTGCCCCATTTCATAGCGAAAGTCTCTTCCAACTAGGAGTTTGACAAAAATAAAATAAATAAATAAATAAAGTAAAGGAAATGGTTGGAGTTACAGTTAACGATATTTTACAACTCTGCTGTGAATTCCAGGTAACCTAACTTTAAAAACGTACTGTTGTTAAGTTACTACTTTATCATTAAGTTAATAAGGGCAGAAAGTTAAAATTTCAACACAAGGTGCAGCGTTAAGCCACTAATTGCTGGCTCAGAACAAAACTTAAAACCACGGATGAAGTTACCAAAACATGTTTTTCAAAATTTACTGTTTACGTTTTAAACGCCAAATTCGGGGTAAACCATTCACATATTCTCAAAGGCAGTTTTGGGATAATATCAGAAAGCGTTGGGATGCAAATGCGAGATATTGTCAGACAATTATTAAGAAGGTAACATGCTTTGTATGTTGGCAACGAACAATGGTTAAAAATGAATGATCACAAGCTTTTTCTACACAACACAACGTATCTTTAAATTTCCACTCACACGCGTTAAGAATTCAAACATTACGTCAGTTTAAAATCCGTAATATAAACAAAGTTTTGTCGCAAATTTATGCTATTCTACAACGAACGAAAACTCATTAAATTGATGGCATCTCTTTGACAAAACTTTGAAAACAAAAGGTTGAGGTTTCAGAATTTAGAGTATACTCCATTCTACTAATAATGTAAAATATTTGAATATACCATCATCATGATATATTATAGAAGCCAAATTCAGGATACTAAATAAGATAAATTTCTGATGGCAATATCACGAAAGTTACCTGATTCTTGATTATATCGCCGATAAGATCCTGATGGTTGTTATTGTTCTTTTTCCCGTCGCTAACTTTTCTCAACGTCTTATGTTTTCTGGTAGGCTTCTCCGGACCTGTAAGGTAATAATAATTAAATAAATAATAAATAATAATTCACTCAACAACACTACTTTTTTCACAATGTGAATATGTTTCACTGTTGATTATGAGTATAACCCTTAAGAAGGTAACATAAGCTGTATTACAGCTCCTTCAAGACCTATGTAATATAGTAAATGACAAAAGCTACACTCTCCACTACAACAATGTAAAGACAAAGGTCCAATCCAATCATCACACGTTCACCACCTCCGCTCAGATCACACTCCAAAAATGTGCATAAAATACCCAGGTATTTTTGGAAATGTAATGATAAGATTAGAATTGACAAATCTATGACACTGCGAGAGTACAGTTTAAGAAATTGTCTACGATTTAGAGTCTACAATTACAATCCAGAATGTTCCAAACGCAAGCCAAAAATGTGTTCAGATCCCCCTAGTTTAGTTCCAAAAAAGAGTTAAGATCTGTAATATATGTGTATAATATGTGACATTATTATTCCGTTACCACGTGACTTGAGCAAGCCTCAGAATAACTACATACCTTTGTTTACAGTCGGTTTTATCACTTCAGGAGGGGGTGTGACGTCACTTGGAAGGGGTGTGACGTCACTTGGAAGGGGTGTGACGTCACTAGGGGATGTGACGTCACTGGAGGGTACGACATCCAACTGGGCACCTTTCTCAGAGTTTGTGGAGGAGCTCCCACAACCCATCTCATCTTCAAAGGGGCCAGGGGAGGGGTTGTCTTCTGAAGAGAGAGAGAGGAAGTCATTAATTAGATCTGATTATCTTATTAATCATATTTGATTAGGTATTGAGAAGTGCGAGTATTAGGAGGTTATTACCGTGGAAATTAAGGTGGAAATTACGAGAATTGATCAAGGAAGACCTAGATTACCAGATAACTTTTAAATGACCTAAGTTCTGAATGTGTTAATACAGCCTATTGCCAGACAATCGCTCCTGTTCATGGCGCTAGTAACCGAGTACCACTGGTTTTGGATCAATGCCAGCCAAGCCGTACGTGCGAATATTTATATATTTATATTCCTCGGAGGAGGCAGACAAACCAGACCACTCCCCGAAATCCTAACACTTGTACAGATAAAACCCTGACTAAAGATACCAAGTTCAAAATGTTTCCCGATAAAAGATAACCGAGTCCAAATAAATTCCAATTAAGATCCGGGCGCCTACCTTCGTCTTTTTCTGAGGTTTCGGGGGTGTCGTCTGTGATGAGGAAGGATTTCAATTCAGGAGCTAAACAGTTGGTGATCTCGTTGAACAAGTCCGCTTCTGAAATTATAAGGATTTAAAAAGCTACCTATAGCACCGTGATTTACCGTGATTAACCTTTATACCCAGTTTCAAGCATTTAAACGAAATATATTACGGCTACTATAAAAGGTCCGAGAATTAAATTCGATTATAATGATTTGTTAACATATCTAAACGGAATTTTCTGTTTTGTAATCGAACGTTTCACTGTAAAAGCTGGCAGCATAAGGGAGTACAATATTAAAGAGCGTGCCTGGTTGGTAGTAATATGGTCAATATTGAGCAGCATATTTACCTAATAATCTATAATCTCCGAAATTAAACGATATAACTCCAAATATGATAGACTATGATATAATATAATCCATATTAAAAGTAGTAACCAACGTTAGAGGTGATATTTTGTCGGATCTTCATTGGTTCACACTACAAATATGGAATGATTGTACTCCAAACCAACCACCAGCCTCAGTTAAATAGTAGCAAAACGAGGATTTCTGAGCTGTGATTGGACAGTGAGGGGTCACGTGGTGTGATGGTGAGCAGGGGATTGGGTAGATCGGTATGTACGCTTGAATTTAACATAAACGAGACTGGCGGTTCACAGTTTTATTGTTTCGTACGCGAATATTCGACTGGTAACCCTCAATACAAGTTACGACTGGCACATCACTCTCCAGAATTTGTTTTGCGGGGTTATTTGAGAGACTAAATAGTAGTATGATCTAACAGTAGCTACCTGAGATTTCCATCTTGAAAGAAAGTTCCCTTCTAAAGGGCGACGTCAATATCCTTAAGAGAACAGCCATGGTGACAGGTCAACGAATTACAGTCAAAATTACAGTAAAAATTCAGAGTAAACTTCCTAATAAAATGTGAGTCGCACGACAACTGCAGTCATCAATTCTGACCTATCTGGCACACCTTTCTTTTGTAAGTAAGCATAACTTAGACTTTTCATCTGTGACGTATACAAACATTAAATAATATTATTTGAAACACGCCTTCAGCCAAGCATGCTATGTTATAGTTTACGAATGATTTATTGTACCAGTGTTTGTCAGACATGCTAAATGAACTGACCCACAGTGTGATCTAATAGAAGGTGTGGGAGTTCCTAAACTTAATTTTGTAAGTAAAATAATACATTTTATGTCTTAAATTGAGTTATATAATGAAGAGTTAAACTTAACTTTGTAATGTTTTGAATTCAGATAAAATAGTTATTAAAATATACGTATAAACCTCATTCCATCGTGTGGTGTGTTAACAAGGTTATTCCCCCACATCCAGAAACACGCCATCTTGCAAGGCAGCCTTGGAGGAAATTTTTTTTTGGGAGGAAAAACGGTAGAAAAAGAGGAAATTAAGAGGAAATTAAGAAGTTACTCCTAAATTTCGAAATATTTTTTTGGAATAAAAACAAATTAATTGAGGAAATTTTTGAAGAAAATGTTTCGATTGTATAAAAATCAAAGAGGAACATCCTGTTAGTTTTGGAACACAGTGAAATATTCTGATTGGAGAATGCAGATTGCTGTTGTGAAGTTACCAAATTTACGTGAGTACTTGATTCTTTTCAATCCCAGTTTATTGCTGTCCTACAAATTTCTTTAATGCCAAATGCCGTCTAAAACACCCTATTTCGCAAAAAATTTCCGGGGGGCTGCTCCCCCTAGCCCCCGCCAAGGGGCTCCGCCCCTGGACCCCGCTGGGGGCTGCGCCCCCAGACCCCTGCCACAGCTTGCTTGCTTCGCTCGCTGTGCAGCTGGATTGGACACGTCGACTCGCTTCGCTCGCCGACAGCTCCCTCCCCAAACTTGCGAGCGAAGCGAGCGGGCCACAGAATTTAGAAAAAAACGCATCTGGGAGGAAATATAAAACTTTCTGGATGTGGGGTTATTCCATATTAGGACATTGGCTGTGTGCCAGAAGATTTTAAGTTATTTTATTTCTAGACTAGATTACTTAACTAGATTCACTGTGTTAGATAACGTTACGGTCTCAATTCTGTAAATGTTCACAATTCGAGTAGTTTTAACCTACTAGGGCTACCATCTCTATAAAACTCTCCTATTCAAGGTACATTACATCATCATTTCAGCGTTTTGAGGTTTATCTATTTGCCAAAATATCCGATAAAAGCTAATCAAATGACTACTCTGATTTGATTCATACGGCATAGACATCACTATCAGACGAACTTGTTCAAAAATAGACCGAGAATTCGACCTGATTAAATTTAAGAAACAATTTCCTTTTGATGTATTTCAAGTGTAGATTAGATTCAGTATTTAAGTAGAGACAAGGTCTTGTGACTACATTAAAATCTTACTTTAACTTCTTAACTGTCCGTTTAAATCTCACAACCTAGGTATTTAGGGGTTTTTAACGCGATAATATGCGTAAATATGCGTTAAAATCGCTGAGAATAACCCCAGATAAGACGCTGGTTATAATAATGGTCGGATCGTTATCACACCACATAATAAAACCCCACTCAGTCCAGTCAATAAGAGTCATGTTATAAGATCAGGTACCATACGAGCTGGAGATAACAAAGTGTTAATTTGATCCTGCTAATTAGAGGAACGCTAACACTGTAGCTGCTGGTGTGCACTGTGTAACACAGCTTAGTCGCTGTAACACATCACTTATCACTACTGCAGTCTGCACTCGAGGCTGTATTATATTACAAACGTGATTGTTGTGATTTCTTCAATCGTGGAATGAATTTGTTGGAGGTTCAAGGATCAGGTGAGAGTAATTTTCGCTAAAGTGGGTAAAGTTATGCATTGTTTGCTATATTTGGATTTTGGACGGCCGTGAAAATCTGGCCAATAAAAGCTAGAAATTTGGGAGCCAGCTTTTCGGGGATGTGCTATCATTATAGTCGAGACCTTAAGGTGATAGGAGGGACTTATAACAAATAATTAGGATTTACTAAAATTAAAGTATCTAGTACCCGACCTCTCCGATTAAATCATACAGGAACAAATGCACTGTCTCTATGAGCACAAACATAGTATTGATTGTAGGCTGTAGCTTTACTAGCAAAATTGTACACTACGGGTATATGGCCCCCAGAATATAGGTCGTTTTTTGAGCACTTAGAAACAGGTGTTAAAACTACTTCTAAGCATGTTTAGGGCTGTAAATATGTACATGATAACCATTTAAATGTTTCTTGGGTAGTTGAAAATAATTATTAGGTTTTTAAGTGTACTTTTTTTTCACCTGTAAAAATACCATTTTTTAACAGGGCCCCCAGAATATAGGTCCAAACATCTGTTCCTAAGTTGTTCTAAAATTGTCACAGACAGTTATATGCAGTCAGAATATGTTGCTGAGACTGTATTGATGATGCCAATGGCTCCAGATACTAAATTGAAATGGTTTAGAGTATACTAAATAGCAAAAAATCAAAAACTACGGCCCCCAGAATATAGGTATGCAAAAATCGTCCTCAAATACTCCACCTTCATACATTTTGATGATGCCATCTCTTCAGCATATGTTCTTTAACTGTTTCTCATCACTACCCCACATTCCTTAATGCTCAGGGTGACAGAGAAAATGCAGAATCTTGGTCGCTATTTTTTTTTTAAAACCTATATTCTGGGGGCCATATACCCGTAATGAGTAAAATCTTTAATTTTACTTGTTAAAAAGCTTTCATGCACTCATTTAGTAGGGATCTTAACTAAATACTTAAATAAGATTGAAGGAGTGTCCCTAGATATGATTGAGGGGGGCTGTTTTTATCTGTATCAATACAATGTGCACCTCAATGACTGTAAATCAGACATTTTTGGCCGCCAAATTTTTTTAAAGGCCTAACTCAAAATTCTGTCCCAAAACTTAAGGTCATGAGACAATTCTACGTTGATTCTGAAAATTTCATGTGAAAATATTGAAACCCTATTGAGTTCTATTGTTTTGAGCGAAGTCAGTTTGAGATATGGGCGATTTTGTTCATTTTTTGCGATTATTTGAACACAGAATCCACAGTTAGGTAGATATTGAGCTGATAATCATAGAGAATGTGTAATATATGCTTACCTTCCATATAAAGTTGGTTTCATTCAAAAATATTGATATTTGACCAATTTATGGACCAAAATCGATCAAATTCGGTGCGTATGCCCAAATATGGGCATATGGTTTTTGTTTTTATCCCATAACTCGGCCAATTTTTATCCAATTTTGATAAAACTTGATATGTGGGTTCAGGAGACTAGTAGCTACAAGTAGAGCATCCCAAAGCATGGTTTTGGGCATGTTCAGGGTTTTTGACCAACCTATATTCTGGGGGTCGTATAGACCTATATTCTGGGGGCCCGTAAAATTGTGGTGGCCATAACTTTTTTCCAAATTGTCAGTTTGCAGATGTCTCGATGAAAAGATAGCTTAAAATAATACTTATACTCATACCAGTAGTCTTAATGGCATGTGTTGGACAGATTTTTGTCATGACAATTTTTCGCCATATTTACCCCTCTAGAAAATGACAACATCGTTTAAATCTTTCGCTGTCATGACCAAATATACCAAAATACCTCATGTAGGTCCAAAATTTTTATCCAGAAACATAAGTTACATGTTTTACTCCAACCTAGCAGTAACAGATCCCATTAGTATCGCTTATCTTGGTTAGAACTGTATCCACTAACATGACCTATATTTTGGGGGCCACCTATATTCTGGGGGCCATATACCCGTATGTTCATTCTCTACTTCCACAATCACAGTCCTGATAATACAGATCTCTAAATGTCGACTGTAAATACTGGCTGAGAGTGGAACCACCACCTCTCTAACCCTGTATAATGTGATATAGTAACCGTATTACCTAGCTAACTACGTTACCTACCACTCCTACAAATCTACCACCGGAAATTCCAATTGAAATACAGGTTGTATTTTGTAACCGTACTAGGTCAATACTCGGTTAATTTAAATCCGGTTCACTCCAGTGCGGGGTGGTTGTGCGGGGTGGTTGTGACGGCTGTTTTAGT